TGAAAATAAATGTTTTATGACTAATGGGGTGGATTGGTCATGTCTCTATTCTGTGTAAGTGTGTCAGCAAGCCTTGTCTAATGAAATGATCAAAACCATCCTGGGAAGAATTGGAGTCTCTCTGATCTTCAGGTACCACAGGACACAAGAGTGGAATAAGGTGGGTGTGTATGCTGTTTGTGGAAGCACGCTGTACAGTAGGAAACCTTTGACTGAAACTGTGTTATGTCTTGCTTGTCTTAGGGAGTGAAGCTGGTCAGTGTGATGTTCAGACTGCACATCGAGTTCATCACTCTGAAGGGGATTATGGGGAATGAACACGGGGTGTCTCGCTGTCAACTGGTCACTATGGCAACAGAGCTCTTCCTTTACAGCGGGAGTATTGAGGGAGCTTTGAAAATGCTGAGAGGTAAAAAGGAGATATGCAACTTTTTATGTGTGGTGTTCTGAATCTGGCAATAAGAGATTACTAGTGTATGTGTTTCTTTTCCTTCAGCTGATGAATGGTTTGTGAGCTCAAGCATGTGGCCTTGTGAGCAGGCTGACATAGAAAGCCGAAAACATATCCTGACCCTCTTAGCTGGAAAGACATCGCACAGAGACACCTTAGAGATTCTTACCAACTTACCTGGACTCAGACAACCGATAAGCAAGTTATTTCATCTTTCATCTTCTCTCATTGGGATATATATACACACACACATACATACATACATACATACATGTACTGCCGTTCAAAGGTTTGGGTTTAGTAAGTTTTTATTTTATTTATTTATTTATTTATTTTATTTTTTTTGTTTGTTTGTTAATGTTTTTGAAAGCAGTTTCTTATGCTCACCAAGCCTGCATGTAAATACAGTACAAATACTCATTTTTTAGAAATATTACAATTTAAAACTTTCTGTTTGAATATATTTTAATATGAAATGAAAGATGCATTTTTTTCCAGGATTCTTTGAATAGAAAGAACAGTATTTATTAGGGGTGGGGGAAAATAGATACAGCATAGTGTTGCAATATTTTGCGTGGGGACATTGTATTGATACTTGGACGCCAGATATAAACATTTTTAGGGCCTGTATTTTGGCTCGTGATTGAGTGATGAGCTTAATTTTACAATTAACTCCCCCCTTATAATGCCAGAAATAATAATAATTTGAAATGTTTCTAGTGTAAGGAAATACTGGATTTCTCTCTCACGCTCAGAGAGCTGTGTGAAGTAAGCGCATTCTCGCATGTGAACATGAAAGGGCCACTAAAGGAAGGCTAAATAATCGCATTAATTCGACACACAAATTCCCTCAAACTACATCTGCGCTACAAACCAGATGTAGTTTGGTTTGTAATATGCTCGATTAGAATCAAAGAAGCTGTCTGCATAATGCCATATCTACACTTGCCAGTGAGCACATATATAATACAACCGACACTTTTGACAAGAAGTGTCAAAATACAACTGTTTTACAAAATGTTTTATATAATACAAAACTTTTGACAGAAAAGACAGCAGCAGCAGTCAAATATGTCTAATGTTGTGAGAGGGTGAAGAAGGATACTTAAAAGGATAGCTCACCTGTAGGGGCATTTTTATGGTTATCGGTATCGGCCATTTTCAAATCCGATTTTCAGATAAAATAATTTTATTTTGAAATGCGCTATTTTTGGCTCTAACTCAGCCACCTCTGTCGGAACTCACCACTCTGTAGACTAGACTCATGTCCCCGCACATCTTATTTGTTGGGAGTCACGAGTCCGGCCATCAGCGCGGCAAGCTGAAGGCACTGAAAGTTTTGCACTCTCACACCGAGAGCACTCGCTGACTGGAGCTGCTTCACTGATCACGCATCAGTTGTCTCTCAAAGGCATCAGTTGTCTCTCAAAGTTAAGGCAGCAGCAGATTTTGCTGAAGAAGCATTGCAATACACTGAAGTTGCAAAATACCTCAATATAATACAGCCCTGTGATTTCCGCGATGCAGTAAACAGACGGAATCGCGGACTCCAGTCATAAAAACAGAATTTACTGTATAAAGCGGAATATCACGGAATTGGTCAACTTTTTGATGAATTAATAAAAAGCAGGTCAGTACAAATCAAACCACAAAAAGACTATTTAAAGACCCCCTCCGATTAATTTTTTTTTTTCTAGGTGTTAACATGTCCTTGTGTCATTTTTCTAATGTTAGAGGGCGTTTCTCAAGAAAAGTAAGCTCGAAGTTGCATTTCTGAGTATTTCTACATTCAAATGGCTGTCAATCAGTAGCAGACGCTAAAATGTCGGCTAAAATAGACTGGAGTTGTGACGTGTTAACTCATCATTTCATTTCATTTTCATTTAGTTTATTTATATAGCACAAATAAACACAACAGAATTTGACCACTGTGCTGTACATAGAAGAAGAATAAAAATATAAAGACACAACAATATCACAAAACTAACAAGCAATACTGGGTGCAATACTAACTCCACTGGGTGGGGCCACAAGCTCATACTCCCCTCCCTCCATACTGATATTCCCTAAACCTTTTAAAAACAAGCACGTAGATAATGTATAATATAATGTAATAGTAGTTAATTCATGTATAATATATAATAAAACACACCACAGATGCACAGTATAGAAAAGTTATTTAATGCCTATAAATATAAAACAATATACATTCAGACGCAGTCAATAATACGAAACTAATGTATTTCATGCGAGATACCAGCGGTCAAGTGACAAAAGAACGACTCATACCCGAAGACTCGAGAGATGAACTAATCATTTCTCTTTCCGGTAACGTTACTGACAGCATAGCCTCTAGTCTATGGGACTGACAGGAAGAACGAAACACACAGCACGGCTCAGCAAACAGATCCATAGACAGTAAAAGGACAGATCAGAGTCAGACACTGACGATTCGACTGCTAACGTATTGAGACACGAGAGGAGGAGAACAAACCTGATAAATATGAAGTTGCAAAGGAATGAATGTCTCGGATCAGGAGGTGAGGTGAACTAACAGAATCAGACAGCAATAGCCTGCCCTGAACTTAAGACTCAACAACTAATAAATTAATACAACATTAGCGGGAGAGACAGAGGAGAGCTCTCAGCAACGGGGAAGGGGAGGGTCGTCTCCGTGCCAACGGCTCCGCCCACAACCCAGAGGCGAATTGCTAATGAGCTACTGCCGCTCTGCTGAAGTGAAGTCCCATAAAACGGCACAGGTTTTGTGATTTTGGCTAAAAATGGCATAATCATATTTTAAAGACCACTGGGAATGTTTAGATCAAAATATGATCGGAGGGGGACTTTAAATATTAATCCTGCATGTCTCTAAATGAATGGCGCTGACGTGTGATTTAATTTACCTCACACACACACATAACACACACTGGAGCACGCGTGACGCTTGCGCTGTTTTCAGCCTCATCCGGATCATTATATGAGGACATGATTGCATAAACATCTCCAGAGTCGCTCGCTTAGTCACTTCATGAACTTTTAATGCTTCAACTGAGAAAAGTTATCATCACATCATAGACAAACGGAAACTCAAAGGCTCCACGGCTACCCGTCAAAATAAAAGTTCGGTTTTTCACAAAGCCCTAAAAATTTAATTTTTGTTAAACTGTAAATAAACTAAATAAGTTTAATGATTTTAATTAATTAGAAATGCTTTTTGATTACTAAAATTTTATTTAAACATTAAAATAGAGTCTTTAAGTTTTACAAAATGTTTACAGAATGCTGCTGGGTGCTCCCTGCACTTTGTTATTATTATTATTATTATTATTAATAACAGTTCTCATATTCAAAGATATGTTTAAAATCATTTAAAGAAAGTATTTGTCAACTTAATTTTGACATTAATTTACAGTTTTACACCAGACATAGGCTAAAATATAATATCGGTTCAAAATATCGGTTATCGGTCTATTTGATCTGTAATAATCAGTATCGGCATCGGCCCTGAAAATCACATATCGTTCGACCCCTACTCACCTGTCATATTACTGTTACTGGTTATACTCTTAAAATGAGCTCAATTGTGTTTGTGTTGGCCAATTCACAATGAAAAGAACTCCATAGCGTCATCTAGTGTCCAAATTGTACGCAATTGATGACAAATTTATGTATCTTCCTAAAACAATATAGACCATTTTGCAAGATGTAAACAACACTGTTCCAGAAACACTTCCTGTTTCAGTTTGTAACTGTTTTCTTTATTTCACATGTAAAGAAAACATCTTAAAGATGTTGTTTAACTTTTTGTTTCAGTTTTACATGTTCTGTTGGTTGTATTTTATCCCAGCTTTTATGTAGTGTTAAAAAACTGAAACAGGAAGTGCTTCTGGACCAGTGTTGTTTACATCTCGCAAAATGGTCTATAAATGATTCAGCACATAACAGAGTATGTGAGCGGAGTGGAGCGGCAACAATTTCCCCTCCACGCTCCAAGCATTATATAATCACTCCGCTCCAGCTCCGCTCCGGGTTCACCATTTACCGCTCCCGCTCCACTCCTCGCTCACTGATATCAGAAACACCGCTCCGTGTTCGCTCCCCAATGAAATTCCGAATAAAGTATTTAAGTATGCTTTAAAATCTCACAAAATGTCTCCTCATCATAATAGATATATAGGCATAGTAAATAAATAAAAAAAAAAAACGTTAGGAGAATAGTTGCAATGTTGTTTATTGGATTTGGATAGTGTGCAAACTTTTCCTATGACATGCTTATTACAGGTTATCAGCATTATAAATTAAATATCGTTGCTGCTTTTTGCAGAGCACATTTTGTTTGGAAAGAAGAAAATAACTACGTTTTCATCAGTTATTTATCTACGGGTCGCTACATTTCTCACAGATTCATGCTCATTTAAAATCAAATACTGACAGATAGCCGACTGCATGATTACATTTGTTTGAATGCAATGCATTAGTGAGAAAGTGATTGCGTTGGTGAATAAGTGTTACCTGTTTAAAATGTGCTTTCACCCCGCCCGATCCAGCGCCCCATCTCATGAAAGTGCGTAGGCTATCTATATTTTATTTCTCGTGGGCATAGCCTACGATACGCACTTAATGGCAAGAACGCACTTCACACCCATCCTAACCAAGGGGTTTAGTGTGCGTCATTTGCACGCACAAACAATTTTTTGGCATATAATAATAGGCACGAGAAATAAAATGTGTGCTATAGATTCGCACTTTCATGAGATCGTGGTGCCCGCTCATATTCAGTACAGGCTTGATAACTATAACCTCCCGCAGCCACTCATGTCCATCGGCGTCATCATAACCCTCACATTTTTTTCTGATTTGAGTGATCCATCTGTATCATGCTAGCGTAATGTGTTTAACACGTGAATCCTTACTAAAAATGCAGTTCTATAATGAGCCGTTGGCATGAATTGTCCTCGTGATAGAGCGGTAGTGGAGCGCGCTCGGAGCGAGTGAAAACCACGACGAAAATCCGCTCCGCGCTCCATTCAAAATCATGCCGCTCCACTCCTCGCTCCGCTCCCACTCCACTCCGCTCACATACTCTGGCACATAATAACATTTCATTACTAAAAAGGAGTATAAAGTATAGTGTCATCATTGACTTGTTCAATAGGGTGTGTTAGGGGTTAACAGTTAAAGGACCCAGAACCAGA